ACTACAATTATTAAAACAAAAATGGCTCAACTTTAAACCAAAAATCCATGGAACCTCCCAATGTACAGAAAAAGGATATTTGGCCTGTTTATATGGAAGGTTGGCTCTATCGATTGCGCTATTGCACAGTAAAATCCCTCAGGTATGATTGGCGCGGTTCCCTTGTAAGATATCTTCTGAATCTTGCTGTAAAATTGCTTCACCATCTACTGTGGATACTATTCTAGATATAATCAAGAGTTCAAATAGAAGTGAACCTTCCAAATTAGTAATCTCGCATGCTTTTAGCATTTTATTGAGTCTTGGCTTGCTCATTGAAAATCCCTCAGGTATGATTGACGCGCAATATGTGGTGGAGATCTTACGTCAAACAACGCAAGTTTGATAGACGTGAAACATGCATAGTAGATGTTAAAACATGCATAAAACGCAGCTTTCGTAATACAGAAATACTGGAGAGGGTATAAAGTCCGTAGAGATTTCGCCATGATAGCTTAAAAGCATAGTCATTCTAGACTAAATGCATTCAAACATGATATTATTTCAACTTTCGATCGAATTCTTTCGAATCCGACTGAACTAAATTTAACTGTGCACAACCTAACAACTTGTGTTATGCAAGATTCTACGAATGAAAGAGACCAAAGACTTGAAGCTGCGGCCACAATCATCCAAAAAAAATGGAGAGAATATTTAGTTCGAAAATGACTCTCTAAAATGGAACTTGCTACTTGCAGGATTCAAAAGTGGTGGAGATCAAACGTTAAACAACGCAGTTTTTATAAATGTCATGCATTTGTAGTAGCTGTTTCATACAACGCAGCTTTAGTAATACAGAAACAATGGAGAGGATATAAAGCTCGCAAAAATCTTTCGCGTGGTAATCCACAAGCATTGTCATTCTAGACTAAGTGCATTCAAAAATGATACTATTTTAACTTTCGAGCGAATTTCGTCGAATCGGACTGAACCAAATTCAACTGTGAACAACCAAACAACTTGTGTTATGCAAGATTCTACGAATGAAAGAGACCAAAGACTTGAAGCTGCAGCTATGATCATCCAAAAAATTGGAGAGAATTTTTAGTTCGAATACGACTCTCTAAAATGGAACTTGCTGTTTGCAAGATTCAAAAGTGGTGGAGATCTTACGTGAGACTACGCAAGTTTGATAGACGTGAAACATTTATAGTAGATGTTCCATACAACGCACCTTCAACAATACAGAAACACTGGAGAGGATATTCAGCTCGTAAAAATTTTGCTATGATAACTCAAAAGTGTGATCAATCTTCACTATACCGTGCGTTTTTTTTTCATTTTACGCCTGCATGCGCGCATGACTCACGAACGGTTTGTGCTATAGACTTCAGACTTGAAGCATAAGTTTATTCGAATTACACAACCATAAGTTCGAGTGCTCAAGGTTATACAAGGTCAATTCTTTATTTTACCTCTAATTGACCTTGAAAGGTCATTTTCTGAAATTGCAAAATTTTTCTCACCCGATAGTGTTAGTCACATGTTCATAACTCATACCATTGGAAAGATGGAATGAATTTTTCCTAATTAACTAAATGTTAAGTGATCACTCATATCCTTTAGCCAGTATGAGTTATGAATGTGTGAAGTACACTTTCGGGGCAGAAAAATGCAAATCGAGAACGCTGGCCATCAAGGTCAATTAGAGGTCAAATAAAGAATTGACCTTGAATAACCTTGAGCACTTGAACTTATGGTTGTGCAATTTGAACAAACTCATGGTTCAAGTCTGAAGTCTGTAGCACTAGTCATTCGTGAGTTATGCCTGCATGAAGGCGTAAAATGAAACAATAACGCCCGGGATGCATCAGAAAACAATCAGAATTGCGAGCAAATTTTTTCTAGTAAAGAACCAAATTTAACTTTAAACAGCCAACCAACTTGTGTTAATCGAAAACTATTGTTTGAAGATTTTTAAAGATAGAAACCGAATAGATAGAAAGACTTGAAGCCGCAGCTCTAATCATTCAAAAAAATTGAAAGGGTATTTAGTCCGAAATCGACTCTCTAAAATGGAACTTGCTGCTTGCAGGATTCAAAAATGGTGGCGATCTTACGTCAGGCAACGCAGATACGAAAGACCCGAAACATTAATAGTAAATTATCTGTACAACGCAACTGCATCAGTACTGAAACATTGGATAAAATATGTCGTGGACAATAAATTTTGCAATGATAACTCAAAGTCCTGATCATTCTAGAATTGATGCATCAGATTTTGATAGTACTGCTACTTTCGAGCAAGTTTCTTTCAATACCACTGAACAAAATTTAACTGTAAAAAAGCCAATCAAATTGTGTTGATACAAAACAACATCAAGATTCTACGAATGAAAGAGACCGAAAACTAGAAGCCACAGCTCTAACCATTCAAGCAAATTGGAAAGGATATTTAGCCCAGAAACGTTTCATCAAAATGAAACTTGCTGCTTGCAAGATTCAAAGGGAGTGGAGATCATACGTAAACAGCGAAAATCCAATAGACGTGATACATTCGTTGTAGATGTTCCATGCAACGCAGTTTCAACAATACAGAAACACTGGAGAGGATATTTAGCTCGTAAAAATTTTGCTATGATGACACAAAAGCCTGATCATTCTAAACTAGATGGGTCTAAAAATGATGCTGTCCCGAAACTCGAGCAGATTTCTTCCGAATGTCAAGTTTCTTGAAATGACAGAGACCAAAAACCTGGAGCTGCAGCTTTAATCATCCAAAAGCATTGGAAAGGATATTTAGCACGAAAACAATTCTCCAAAATGAAACTTGCTGCTTGCAAGATTCAAAAGTGGTGGAGATCATACATCAATCAACGAAAATTTGATAGACGTGATAAATTTGTTGTGGATGTTCCATATAACGCAACATCAACAATACAGAAACACTGGAGAGGATATAAACTCCATAAGGATTTCGCCATGATAGCTCAAAAGAAACACTATATTATTCCTGTTCTACAAAATCATACTAGCCAAGATTTTGCACAAATTAAGGATACGCCAGCTCTCCTTCTTGGCTTCCGAACTGATATTGCATTTGAAAAGCTCATCAATTGTCGAAAATTCTGTCAATTACAAGCCGCTCTCTCATCTTTGGAGACCACTACTAACAAGGGAACCGCGCCAATCATACCTGAGGGATTTTACTGTGCAATAGCGCAATCGATAGAGCCAACCTTCCATATAAACAGGCCAAATATCCTTTTTCTGTACATTGGGAGGTTCCATGGATTTTTGGTTTAAAGTTGAGCCATTTTTGTTTTAATAAAAATTAAAATT